AGACCTTTAGCCTGGATGTTCAGGTGTAATCCATCGAGAAGATTATCGACGTGAACGAACTACCGGAATGGGCTTCCGAATCCAAAATGGGGCACGGTTAAAAAGAGGTTTTAGATACCCGGGAACTCGGGGTTTGGACAGTTGGTTCGATTCAGCCGAGGCAACATGGACCACGATATCGGCGTTTCAAGGTCAGGAAGGGTGCATTAGGAGTTTTGAGTACTACAATGGAGCATGAAGTATGCTTTTGCTCTCGTTTATTCGGCCACCTGGGCTTATCATGCAAGGACTATCGCATGTGGACACTGCCCCGGCCAACAAGAACGGTAACGATGCCTGCTAGGCATGGGAGTACGACGTCTGAACTGTAACAAGGAGTATCTAGCTATTGACCGGTGACGCTCGTCTGCCGCAACGCGACCCTCCTACGACCTGAGAGACAAATCTACGAACGCTACGCTTCAACATTACACACACTACATCAACGAAAGGATCTCGACGCCTTCCCGCCCATGGGCCCCCTGTAACCATTCAAATCCCACGCTAATCATAATCTGGACGGGCGAATCTCGGATTCTTTCCTAATGGGTCTACGTCCCGCCCGTGCCACAAATTGGACGGCGACTGCGATACCTGCCACACAGCACCAACTTGAAGGCACGCCCGGGAGGCATTCTGGTCAGCCATGATGTCAATGAGACAGGGGCATTGTGCACGCTCGGCCCGACCGGCCCGAACTAATCATGTTATGCTACATGCGGGAATTTGCGCAAGTGCAAGAACGGCGCTTCCCCATGAATAAAGCAGGTAAGTGGTGATCGGCCTTCTAGGTGCCAGCAGCTAAAGTGGTTCTATATCCTTTCCCCACAACGTGGTGCCCTGTGGCTGCCGCCAGCAGTTCGCTCGTTAGAGACACCGAATGTGCCTTTTTAAACGGTCTGTCGCACACATCGACTTATTATGCCATGATTTCGTTGAATGAAGATCGAGCTTTTTACGGGGTGCCGTCTGATCGACTATCGCCGGGGTCGTATGCGAGTGTTGGGGTTCTTTCCCAGTAAACCGTTTAGAGAGTAGCTTCGCTCTGCAACATGATTATCACACAGGAAGGCAGAGTGCGGGCAAGCTATGCGTTACAGGAAACCAAGCGGTATGATCATGATCTGACACCAAAAACATTCTATGCTAACATTCTATATGCGCCTAGGCGCCTGATTGGCTCGATTTCATATAGTCGTCTTATCATGAGTGCGATCAAACGTCAAACCCCTCTAGATTCCCATCCACGATGGACAAGGTGAGGGTAATTCACATTTTTCAATGACTCTGTAATACAATCAATCAAGGATATGACTAAATAGTTATCTAACAAGCGTTCAGGGCGTGTGATATCCCGGACTGTTGTATCTGATGTACAGTCTCCCTCCGACATTCTATCCATCTAACAATTGCTCGCGTCAGTGCAACCTTTACCGCTCCGCACGAATCGAATCGATTCGAACTTTTGGCCGATTCGATTCGATTCGAAATAATAGCGAACATCACGATTCGTACGAATTTGAATTCAAGATCGATTCGAGTTCGATTCGAAGTTCGCGAACTTTTTGGTACTAAAGCCTCACTGGGAAGGCGGTAAAATACTCTGACAATATTTGTCGCTCAACACCATAGCGAGCAATCGACACTTCATACTGTAGGAAGTTTAATAATCAGCTAATAAATGAATACAAAGATAGCTAAATTTAGTCTGACATAAAGATTGAGCAATTTGGTCTTGAGTTGAATAAGCTGTAGGGCACTTTCAATTTCCGCAATTTTTTGACCCATGCTCTATCCGAAATATACAGTTCTACTCCCAAGACTTCCTAACAAGACCGTAATCTAATGCGTGGTCAGTTTTGCTTTATATTATACTAGCTCATAGATCGTATTAAGATACACGTAGTCTATTAATACAGAGCCAAAATATCAATATTTATATATTATATTCAATATAGAGTCTATGGATAGTCTAATCGGGCTAGCGGATATTCTACAAGAAATACGTCTCCGCGCGTACGTGCTTTTACTAAGAATAACATCTAAACCCTGGTCAAAAGCTACTGAGAACCACCCCTTCTGGTGCTCCAAAGTAAGCGATTAATTAAGACACAAGCACGATGTACTAATATAGCGTTATAGATGACATCTCCACTTGCTACGATATTCGACTGTCCTAATACCAGGAAGAATAAACGCGATTATGCGGCGCTTAATAAATATAGCCTCCTTACAGAGGATATACTACTTCCGCGACCACGAAAGAAGGCGGCGGTCCGGACCGCCGCCAAGTCACCGACTCCGATTTCAACCTCTCCTACGGCTCCTAGTAATATTTCTAGGAATTTATCGAACCTTAATACGGAGATATGCCCTTCACAGTTAATATCTCAGGTCGAATGCGAGGTTGAGACGGCCAAAATTAAGTAGAATAATGAGACTAGGTCGAGAGAGCGGAGCTAGGTATAGAAATACTATCGTATAATACCTGAATCTAGTACCTAGAGATTCGGAAATAAGGAGCGGCTCGAACTTAAATACCTGTGTATTATATCGCCATCCACTTGTTGATTCTTTCGATTTGCATCGAAACTACGCTCTTCAACTACAGCGTTGAAACAACACCTGTAGCAAACACACAAGCTCTTGGAGGACGGTTATCTATAGCGCCAAGGACCGTTAAGCTCGTGGATTTCTAAGGAAAAGAAACTCCCATTCGAAGAGGCTATCTTGAATTGGATTATATCGACCTGTCAGCCATTTACATGCGTCGAGCAACCTTCATTTAAGGCTATGTTAAAGTAGACGGGCTTTGAGGACTCTATACCGGGTGCGGATACTGTTTCACGCCGGTTGTGTCTTCGACTTGATACTCTTGACAGTGAACTTCGAATCTTGATGGCTTCGGCTTCCTCAATCGCGCTATCTCTTAATGGTTGGATAAGCCAAAATTCATTATTAATGCTAGCAATCAATGCTCACTAGATATGGCCTGCTTTCCAGCAATATCGAGCTTATATTAAGTTTGTTGAAATCGAAGGCAACCACTCTAGAGAGAACCTTGCTAATATCGTCGCGACGGTTCTTGAGAGGTTTTATATATCTGATAAAGTTATGACTATTATAGCTGATAACGCATCTAATAATGATACGCTACACCGGTGTCTCTTCCAAAAGCTATCTCGGCGGTACGATGAGTACCTGACTGATACCGTTATCCGAGAAGGGACCATGAAATTTACTCAGAAATCCTAAATCCGCTGCTTTACACATATCCTTAATCTAGTTATGAAAACAATATTGAGGTCTTTACGCGCTAGTTCACATAAGGAAGCCTATGACCTCCTTAGTGATGTTGCTAAGAGGAGCTGGAAGGCGATCAACGCTCCTGCTTCCCCTATTGTAAAGCTTCGACTACTTGTCCTTTAGATTGCGCGATCTCCTTAGCGAATACAAAAGTGGGATAATCGAACTGGCTATATAAAAGCTATCTACTACGATGTTGATACTCGATGGAACTCTACTTTAGTTATAATCGAGAGAGCTGAAGAATGTCGCCGGCAGCTCGAAGATATAGTCAACGATGAGCTAGGTATCGAAGCCTTACGTCTCACACCTGAGGACTGGAGGTAGCTCTTAGATATTAAGAAAATCCTAGCTCCCTTTAACGAATATACTGAGTATGTCTCTCGAGATAGCCCTTTAATTTATATGGCGGCGCGGATGTTTGAGGAGCTCCGTTCTGTACTCTTAGCTATTAAGGAACGGCGAGGCGAGTAGTAGAATGTCTCGCTAGCACTAACTATTCCTATCTCTAATAGAATCACACTTCTGGAGTAGTACCACGACCGCGTCAAAGACAACGACATATAATATATCGTAAGTATTCTGGACCCTCGAATCAAGACTAAGTGGCTCAAAACGCTGCGAGGTGGAGAGGAGATTATTGACCGAATTAGGACGTTCCTGAAAAAAACATATCCCACCCCTAAATAGCCTATGTCGACGGCTCCAAGTACTAGTTACAAGAGCTTTAAATATCGATTTCTGGAAGCCTTTTAGCCTATACAGTATAACGTCGCTGAGTCTGATATCGACCAGTATTTCGACACTCCTACAATTAGCACTGGTTTCGATATAAGCCAGAGCCAGACTGAGTTCATACAAAATTGTTGGAAGGCTAATAGCCTTGAATTTACTTGTATGGCCCAGGTAGCACAAGATCACCTTGCGATACCAGCCGCAGAGGTAGATATTGAGAGATTGTTCAATGGTGGGAGAGATGTACTGGGAATTCGACGTTTCTCTATGAAAGGCAAAATGCTTGGGACCTTATTAAGGCTAAAAGATGCTGAACGTTGGAGGTCTGAATAGTTATGGTATCTACATTAGATTGATGTTTTACGCGTAGTTTAACATGTTTACAGCTCAGAATCAAAATTATGAACCGTGCTTAGAACACCATTCTATGTGCGAATCCAATGCATAAAGTGGTCACGGTTATTGAGGTTAAGGCTGTCTGCAGGAGCGAACCCTTCATAATACATATTAGTTCGCGAACCTGTTCGAAATTCGCGAATTTCGACGAATCGAATCGCCCGTAGATTCGAAGCCCGAAAACCAAGGTTCGAATTCGATTCGATTCGTTGAAATTCGCGAACTACGAACAGTTCGAAAATTCGTGCGGAGCGGTAGCGGCTGGAGTGGAAGGGTTGCAGATCCTGCAACTGCGGCTGCGGCTTCACACGCCCCTTTTCAGACGACGCCAATGACGTAATAGACTATATGTCATTTCAACCCATCGCAGCTCGCTGGATGATAAATTCCTACTTCAATCATGGTATCGATCAAAATCACGGTCCAGCATATCTTCTAGGATTGCGAAGTACAGAACTACAGGTTGATTTAGCTGGAAGAGGCCACCCGATTTAGTAAGAAATTATTACCCGCCAACTCGCAACATGTACCTTTGGACAAAAGATGGCCAGGGTGCGGCTCCCCTTTTAAAAGACCCTGAAAACTCACCTCAGTACGAGGAGTTTCCGTCAGGATCTGAAATTGGTGCTGAGAATAATATTCACCCTGGAAAAGTGGATGGCAAACTCTACCAGCGGAAGAAAAATTCGTGGAATTGCATGCGGCTAGCTATTGCGTCGCTTTTTACCCTGTGCTTCCTGAGTCTAGCATACAACGGCCTTGCAAGTGTACTTGGCTTGGTCAGTCTTCTCGTTATCCTCTTGAGTGGCAACATGCAAGTACTAATGGATTACCAGTCACAAGATAAATTTAAGCTGTGCCCAAATGGAACCCAGGGACATACTTGCTTTCCAAGGAAGATCGTAATTGAGAAGCGATCGGAGTCCATCGTGGGAAGATACCCTATATTTGACCTTCTATCTCTGTCCACTACATCCGGTAGTATTGGGGTCACAGTCATTCCGCAGAGAGCAGATACTCAGAGCCCAGATGAGCCTGCTCGCCTCCGGATTCGTACAGGATCAGGAAGTATTGCTGTCTCGTTCACTTTCCCGGGCGCCACGTTTTCGCCAGAAATCAAATCCAACCAAAAGCCTGGTCTGGAAAAAAAACGTTGGAATGAACTTTGGCCACTCCAATTTCGTCCTTACGAGCTTGACGTTGAGACCACGAGCGGATCTATCACAGGACAATTTTTCTTCTCAACTTCGGCACGCCTTTCATCTGAGAGTGGCAGTATCAATGCCAGGTTGTTGCCAATCGTTAGGCTCATCAGGAATGTCGATTGCAAAGAAGCAGAAAATTTCGTTGCAAATACTGCTTTGATAACGACCTGGACATATTCTGGGAGTCAAAATGTTCATCTGATGAGCCCTTGTTTTGTCCCTTTCTCAGGCGAAACGTTCAAGGCCAATTCTTCGGTTATGGGGAAGCCTGCTCTGTCGCACCACAATACCCAGAGAGGAACTTTAAACATAAACTACCCTAGTGCATGGACAGGCAATGCTCATGCACGGACTGAAAGTGGAAACATAGCATTTGGCGGAAATGGTTTGGAGGTTTTCAACAATGAGGATGGCTCGGTAGACGGCTTCAAATATGAGGGTCAGAAAGAGTGGAGAAGTATCAATGTATCTCTGGGATCGGACGCGGGAGCAATCGTTTTCAATGTTGGATAAGTCAGAGCTTTGGGGCAACTTGGATTCGGAAATTTGCATAGTAGTTGTAAAACCCACTCCATAACTTATACACCTACATCTGCGCAGTCTATAAGAGACAGTAAGGATCGATGGAAATTGTATTAACCAGACCCGTGACTTTTTCCTGCGGACGAAATGTATGCCCCGAACAGCTCGCCACACTAGGAAAAAGGAGGAGATCAGTAGCCCAGTGAATTGCCCATCCTTGGTGAGAAAGACAAATCACAAGAAAGTTCTATGTCCCATTGGCAAGTGAAACGATTGGGCTTCAAATGCTTTTGCTGACCATTGCAGCCCTCCCCTTCGCAGCAGGAAGCAGATAAAAGACACATCCAGGCGACCGAGCCCTTTCAACCGACCTTGAAGGTGCTAGCCGACCTCGAAAGCGACGATCCCAAGTTCGCCTTTCCCGCAGCTCGACTTGTCGGACTCTATCGGCGCCTATGGGAGTCATGCGTGTCCAAGCTCATCGATGGCCAGAAGCTAGAGCAGGACAACCTTGTTTTGAAGGAAGCTGGTGCGCACCTGAGAAAAGAGAGGGACGGTCTTCAGGTTCGCCATGACAAGCAGCTATTCTGGCTGCGCCTTTTTGAGCAGGCATTGAAATTATCCCGGGAGAGGCTGGTTAGCGTACTCGATGACTGAAATCACCCTTCCCCACTCAATCTGGCAGGGTTACCGGATAATGTAAGAGGAAAATGAGTGATCGGCTATTCGGAGTTATCTTTCCTATTGCTCCGAAGCAGATATACTACAATGACGTCGTGATTGAAGGAGAATTATAGTATGAAAAGAAGCTTATATTCCTTGTGTCTGCGAACCAATCCCACATGTTCCGGACCAGTCTTACTTGTAATCACCCAATATATTATGCACAAATAGTCCGAACTCAGAGACAGTGTCGTCGGTAGCGTAGCTCGCGGAGAAAGTGTCGACTGACTCGAATATTATAGAGGTTCCATACGAGGCCACAGGGACAGTCGGAAACTAGTGCCTATTGCACCAAAATCAGGCCGAGAGATCGTGTCTAGCAACTGTCCGCGTACCCGACAGAGATTCCTCAGGGCTGTTTCAATCCGGGGTAGGAAGAACAGATGCTCTCCTATCCTCTCGAAATCGCACTAGCCGAAACTCTCTCCAGCGCACTTCTATAGGGAAAGCGAACGCTGACATGTAGAGAAACATGTCGCTAGCCTGAGTAGACACGGACAGAGGATCTGGACCCATCCACTTGAAGGCCGACAGCTCGTCGTAAGTGGGGTGCAAAAGGCATTCGATCACGGAAGCACGTTGAGTATCATGTCCTGCAGGCTCACCTTCATCCGAGAAAATCTGTCGAGCCTTACCAGGGTCGGTGGCGAGACAGGGGGGCAGTGTCGGTATGCCAGAGGAGTCTTGCCAGATGCCGTGAAGGTCGAAATCCAAATCACTGTCTATCAATTTTAGCACAAATCAACGACTGAAACAACGGGTACAGACCATTCTTGTTCCATTCGTGCATTTTTGTTCAAGACTCGCCGTCGAAGGCTGGTGGAAAATTACAGATGTGTAGAAAGTATAATTTGACGAGGGTTGGGAGGGACAGAATGCCGCAGGGTGAGCAGGAAATTTATCTTGATAACGCAAGGTTATGGCAAATTAGGACTTGCTGGCCAGATGCTAACTTGTTGAAAATCAAGCGCCGGATGTATCAACAGCCATGAAATGTTTACACCCCGTCACCAAACCCAACGGAACTTCACCGGCGCTTGTTTGGGCCTCTAGAAAGAGAAATGATATTTGGGACATAAGGCAGTAGATAGCAAATTATTCAGGTGTCTTTATCGCCCACGAGCGCTCGACAACGCCGAGACCTCAACACGGCCCATTAACATGGAAGGCTTTGTGATCGCTTGCTTGCAAGGCTGAAACGACGCCGTTACAAAGTGCTTGAACTGCTCGCTTTCGGTCCCACAGTATCAATGCCTGCTCATCGCAGAGCTGTAGAAGGATGTCGCTGTCGCTTGCTAGCCCCTCATTTAACCCTTGAAGCTGTCGCTGCTCATCCTCAAGTCGTATCTTCTCGGCAGATTTGACGACGTAGCATTCCCACAGGAAAAAGTACAAATCGAGCAGATTGAGGGCTGGTGTAGCTAGGGCGTCGTTGTGGTGTAGAAGCTTCATGAACTCCGCCGTAAGGGAACCTGGTGTGCGCACTGGTACCTATGCAGTGTTAGCGATCTTGTTCGTTTGCTATCTAAGAGGGTATGACCGACCTCGAGTACGTTGATTGTGCCGTTTGAGGATTGCTGTGGATGGCTTTGCAACTTGTTCTCATCTTCTGGGTCGTGGGAAACCAGACACTGTCTCTTAGCTGGCCGGTCACATGGGGAAGGCGAAAAGGGATGATCCATCGTGGCCTTGGGGAACGAAATGCAAGAGACGTTGTACAGAAGAGTCTTTTATAGCCCGGCAGTTACACTAAGGCTGCTGTTATTGCCAACTATGAACATCCGGGCCTGAGTTCGACTGTCTTTAAAAGAGTCAGTGAACGGTTACCTCAACTGTTGACGCTCGATCTCACCTGCTACTCACCCCGAATTACTCAATTTTATGCAGAAATGAGCAACAGATGAAGCCTTGAAACAAAGTCTTGCAGAACTACCTCTGATGATAGGTTGCAAGTGTAACCTTGATGCATTGAATGCTATGCATTAAGTAGAAATTGTTGGAGTTTTACTGTGACGTTATTGTGAATGAAACCTATTCGAAGCGTGGAGGTGTAGATGATTGATTCCGAGTGTTGATATCAACTGACGCTGAAATAAGCCATTCTCGTATTTTATTACGAGAGGTGTAGATGTCGCTAGCTTTACAGACCACCAGACCTTCTCGGAGACCGCTTCAACAATCTTTGGGGAGTGTTGTCGTCTTCCATTCTGCTTCGAATGGCCCTCTGGATGCAATCGTTCCTTGCTAGATCCAGGGATCTCTTCAACTTGAAGTTTTTCAGTCTGGGATTCACCACAAGTGCATCGACAATCGAGAAATATTCACCCTTGACTGCCAACATCAGTGGATCCTCAAATCATCGATTCCTGAGGTTGGCATTACTATTCTGCGGCTATACCACTAACTCGTCGAGTCTCGCACCTACAATACCGTCTCTTCATGGTTGCGGAAAATATACAGCCCTCAATCTCGGTTCTACACTGTCCAGGAATATCTCAGAAAACCCAATTGAATAGTTTGTAAATCTAGTTTAGTGTCTTATTCTGATTTTTCGCTTGATTCCTAACGGAATATCGCTCTTGCTACTAATTGGAGCTTGATAGATCTTCCTAGGAGTCTCAGATCTTTCGGTTCACCGCAAAGTGATTGATGAGACGAATAGATCCTAGAAGCTCAAGCGCTGGCACCCATCCGCGAGAACTGTTGCTGTCACCATTCAAGCTCAAGCGATTGATGTTCTGGAGTGCTTCGAAGGGAATGCGAAAATTCCACACCCCTCTACTTCTACAGATTTATCCTGTTCCCCGGCGAATACCAGAACATGGCGCGATCAAATGTTATGTGATTAGGTTAAGGAACCAATAAATTCATCAGACCAGAAAAACTGGGAACAAGAAAGCATTTCAAGATCCAACCAGCATCATACGAAATTCCTGCAATGAACAAACGCATACCGATATGATGAGATGAATTGAAAAACTGAAGCATCACAGGCCAGCTCAAACCCCACATAAAATTAGCCAACACAAGCCGTAAAATCAAAAGGACTTGTCAGTAAAAGAAAACATCATTCTCACAATCCCCTTATCTTACTTACCTTTTCCCCCTAATCCTAGACTATCGAACAACGTGTCAAGTCCCAATCCACCAAGAAGGCCATCCAACAAACCACCCAGCCCGAGACCACCGAGCAGTTTTCCGACCAAACCCAGAACACCGCTCAGCAGCAAGCCCACGGCGGCAATAATTTGAAAAAGTGGCTCGGAGAGGAGGGCCCAGAGCGGATTTAGCTTTTTCTTGGCGTGAGGCATGTCAGCTATGCGTTTGCGGCCGTTATCGATCGTATTGGTGACTGTCTCGGCCAGCTCCCTGATTAGGTCAGCGAGCTGGTACTCCTCCGGGGTAGCATCACGCGAGGCGGCGCGCGCCTTGGCGGTGGCCGCGATGCTCCCATCGGGGTCGAGGGCGCGGATGGAGCCGTTGCATTCTTGGAGGATGCGGCCGCCTTCTTCCAGAAGCGGTTTGACGACTTGGACGAGCTTCTCTTCGTCGAGCTCCTCCTTGGGTGTGCGCTCGGCCTTTTCGATTTGCTGTAGAATTGTTATTACTAGGAATTGGAACACTGAAAAATAAGGGAAGGAACTTGAACGCGCCTCGGTGATCTGTCGGCAAACAGGCTTGACTCGGTCGAGGGTCTGGCTGAGGATGTAGATCATCTTCTCAGCTATCTGGCGGTCTTCCTCGGCCTTAGCCTGAGCCTCTAACTCTTCCTCGGTGAGACCTTCTTCTTCAGGCTCAGGCTCCGGAATGTTCTCCAGTAAGGTACACTCGCCAATGATGTTGTCATCGTTGTCAACGACATAGCCGTTGTCGTTGATGGTTTTGCCAACCAGCGTTGCCAGGTTACCGGAAGTCAGCTTGCCAATAAGGTTGCCATCGGCATCGCGCACCTCACCCTCCTTGGTGATCTTTCGGCCAGACATAGGGCTGACATCGCGCTGCTTCTCTTCCGGCTCCCAGCGTTCAGCCTTACCGATGATATTTCCATTCTTATCAACGACATCGCCATCTTCATCGACCTTACGGCCGAAAAGATACTTTGCATCGCCTTCGATGAGGTGGCCGATGATCCGGCCTGCGTCCACAACCACGCCGTCCTTGCCGACCTCGGCATTGTCAAAGCCGTAGAACTGTCCCTCCTTTTCTTCCCGCTCCGCGTCGGGTATCAGCCCCGCCCGGCCAACCACCTTGCCGTTGTCACCCCAGATTTGACCCTGGCCGTCGACCTTACAGCCAGCGAGACGTTTGTCGCCTTCAATTACCCGCCCAAAGACAGCACCCGTGGCTGGGTCCACGATATTGCCCTGCTTGTTAACAACTTTGTCCTGAAGAATGGACAGGTCCTCTTCGTCGGGGGTTCCTCCTCGGCCGGCTCGTAAGGCTCACTACGGCCCTTGACATTGCCATATTTGTCTGTAATCTCGCCATCTTCGTCGACCGCATGGCCACGCAACTTTTTGGCATCCCCTTCGATGAGTTGACCTACGATAGAGCCGTTCTCGTCCTCGATAAACCCGTCCTTAGTGACGACCAGGCTCTCGAAGCCGGCGAACGGGCCATCGGGAATATCTTCGCGCTCGTCCTCAGGAATAAGCTCGGCGCGACCGACTATATTTTTGCCTTCGTAAATCTCGCCGTTCTCGAATATACTTTTCCCCGCCAGCTCCTTAGGGTTACCCTCAACAATACGACCGATCGGACAGCCCTCCGGCCCGATCACATACCCGGCCTTGTTGCAACTCAGCCCATCCATACTGGAAAGGTCAATAGGCTCTACCTCTGGCGCTTCAGGTTCCTCCCAGCGTTCTGCACGCGCGACGACGTTGCCATACCGGTCGACTACTTCACCGTCCTCGTCCACTGCTCGGTTGACCAGCTTCTTCGCGTCGCCTTCAACGAGCCGCCCGACCCTTGTCTGGTTCTCGTCTTCGACCCATCCGTCCTGGCCTACGACCAGACCATCTAGGCCTGCAAATGGCCCTCCCTCTTCATCATCGTAGACGGGTATTGGCTGGGCCTTGCCGATCACATTGCCGCGGTTATCCCAAAATTGGCCCATGGCGTCAAGTTCGGCACCAAACTTCGAGAGCTTCTTAGGATCACCTTCAATTATTTCTCCAACAGGCTTGCCGGTAGCTTCATCCATGATGTAGCCGCGCTTATTGCACTTCAAACCCTCGAGAGACTCGATTGATGGGATCATTTTATTCTTCTCCGCGGTGGCGTCATGAGCAGTCTCTTCGGCGCTCTTCTGTTGCTGTTGCTGCTGCTCCTCCACGGGGATAAGCTCCGCGCGGCCTATAGCGTCGCCTTCATCATCGACGATCTCTCCCTCGCCACTGACAGTATATCCGACGAGGTCTTCCGGATCTCCCTCGACGACCTTGCCCACTGCCAGGCCGGAAGAATTCTTAATCATGCCACCCTCGGAGACAGGGAGCCCATCAAGTTCTTCCAGGGTGGTTAACACGTCCTTGGCCTGGTCCAGCTTCGACTGTTCCTCCCCGGGAAACTCCATAGGTTGACCAACCGTCTCATCCAATATATCAACGCGGCCGATCAAATCGCCATCCTCGTTGAAAATCTCGCCATTGTCCCCGACAGTCTGGCCAACCAAGTCCTCCGAGTCTCCCTCCACCACCTTTCCCATTGGGTTGCCGTTCTGATCGCAGATTTGGCCACCCTTGGCGACCTGGAGACCCTTAAGCGTAGAAACATCAGGCGACACGGTGCTCGAGTGAGTGTTCTCGCCCTTCCGCGCTATATCCATTGCTTGACCCGATTGGCTCCGAACCTTATCGGACTGCTCGGACGCGGCGTGCTCGAGTGGGGCCGCGGAGCCAGAAGCTTGAGAGACATCGTCCTTGGGTGGGGAGATAGGACGGCGCTGCTCGGGTGCACCAGGCGCCTTCTTTGTAGACTTTGGGGACGGGGTTGCAGATACAGGTGTTTCTTCCCTGTCATCCGAGACGGGCTTGGATTGTTTGGATTGGAGCTTGGGCGGACCGGTTTTTTTCTTGGAACTGAGGCTCATTTCGACCCGACGTGAGGGGGGATTTGCTTTTCACCCTTTAAATTTTGGTTGTACTCTGTATTTACTTTCCAGAAAAATAGGCAGATGAGAATTGAGCTTTTGGGAGTGGTTATTTTTGGCTTATTATGAGTAGTGCTGTGATAAATCTTTTGTAATAGAAAGGTCCATTGTCTTGCATCATAGTGACACCAAACAATTGTCACCGTATGATGTCCATTCCCATGACAAGCATCAGCCGTCTAATGTAGCCAAACTCCACTTTATCACGGCCTGGTTTGGATCCAACACCCAAGCAGGCTATCCGGGCCATTGAAGTCGAGACTTTGTATAACCAAGGGCGTCATATTTCTTTTGAATTGAACGTCTTGGAATTAATACAATGACGAATTTGGTGAATATTCTAGCCAAACTCAAGCAAATGAGCGGCATGTCATCGACCTGCAGAGCCCCAGTGACGTCGGCGGCAACGCCAACCAATCTGACACTACCATCGCTCCCCGGTGCAGCCATTCATTGGGAGTTCACTCTTCGTTCACCTAAATTCTTGAAAGTGCAGAAAAATCTTAATGTTGCGTGACCGGGTCGTTTCGATTACAGAATCTATGGTCATGGTCGCCAACTCTCCGTAGCCTTCGGCCTACAGACTGGCTCCCTTGCGATGGGCAGACATATTTTAGTACTGTGCTGCTTCCGGAGGAATAGAATATTTACCCGAGAAAGAGGGAGAGTAATGATCTCAATAATGGTCTCTTTTTCCACCTCTTGCCCCCGACCGGTCAGCGGCACCGAGGGATAGCCAAGCCCTGGCTTCTACTTTAGAGCAATACATTACGATGTATTTGACGACTGGTTACAAGTGCGCTCGTTGACGCTGAATATTGAAGTCTGGCGTGTTGGCCACGAGCCGCTTTCATCGGTTCGATGAGCTCTGACTATTTTCCGGTAATTACTTGTTCAAAGACTGCTCACTAGCAGTCTAAAAACCATCTATACCATTGCCGTCGACTTATCCACGGGCCTAACCAAATGCGGTCTATTGGATACTGACTGCTTGGTCACTTTCTAAAATGGAAACTTCCAATCAACCAAGGATCGATATATTGCATCTTTCAGCGCCAAAAGCACGGCTCAACTCATATTGCCTAACAAAAGATACTGGCACATAAAACGGCGTAGATGATTAGGAAAATAGCTACGCTGCCTGCAAATGGGATCAAAACTTTTGCCCAAAAGCAAAGTATGAAAGAGCCTATTGAATGACAATGAGACAAGGCTTTATAGCCGTAAAGCCTACCACTCAGTTGTCACAACACTTAATGCTAGATGCTGTGAGAGCCTTGGGTGTTGTGAGGAGAACATATTAGCACAAGGCCATCAGGCAAATCAGAGAGTGGAACGAATATGACAAGATATGTTGCAAAAGTCCATAGCCGCCTCAGCCGGAGCCTAGTTACTAGTGCCAGTCAGTAAAAATGTCACCACACATTGAATCGTCAAAATGATTCTCTTGGTTCCCAAATGCGGGCTGAAGAGGAGGGAAGGGCTTACTGACAGTAAAGCTATAGTCAAATCACCATGAATCTTCGCCTTTAGTTGAATCTCAATATCCAAATTGATATCCGACCGAAGACGCAACTGCTCGTCACGCCCGCCATGGTTGTCAACACTCAATTTTCGAACTTCAGATCATGAGCCTACACACATTAAACTTTTTTTTTGAATTTTGCTTTCTTTTTGAACTTCCTTTTTGATGATTACAAGTTCTATAATATTTCATTTGTCGGATTTCTAGGGCGTCCAAAGAGAGGGAAGTAGGTGTCTGATTGAAATATTTATCCTCAACGGTTCATCTCTGCCCCTCAACATCGTGACACTTGATCTGTTTCCCCCACGGACTATTCATATTGTTGAATACCCTGTGAGGAGTCCGCTGAAAAGAAAAACTCCAGTCAGAATTTGACTGCTTTGGTTGACCGTTGTGGTGATTGTTAAACCCAGCCCATAAACACCTGCGTCTGCATAGTCCATAAGAGACACAAAGGCTTGATGGAAACGGTACTGCCCAGATGTTGACTTTTTCCTGCTGACAAAATGGACTCCCAAAACAGCTCAACCGGCCAGGAGAATGAAGATCAGCAGCCAAGCGAGTTGCCAATCCTTAGCGAGAAAGACAATCACAACAAAGTTCTGACCATGTCCCATTGTTGAGTGAGATAATTCGGCTTTAGATATTTTTGCTGACCATTGCAGCCCTCCCCTTCGTAGCAGGAAGCAGATACAAGACACACCCTGGTGACCGAGCCCTTTCAACCCATCTTGAAGGTGCTAGTAGACCTCCAACGCGATGACAAGTTCGCCTTTCCCGCAGCTCAACTTGTCGGACTCTATCGACGCCTGTAGTAGTCATGCATGTCCAAGCACATCGATTGCCATAAGCTAGAGCAGGACAACCTTGTATTGAAGGAAGCTGGTGCATATCTGAGAAAACATAGACATGGTCTTCAGGTTCGCCACAACAAGCAGCTATCTCGGTTGCGCTTTGTTAAACAGGTATTGGAATTATCCCGGGAGAGGCTGGTTAGTGTACTTTGTGAAATTTGTGAAAAAGGCTTGCTTCAAAAGGTTGATCGGAGTACATTATCCACGCAGTTTTAATGGCTCCTTTGGTAAGCAAAACCAGCTAACTTCATGATTGAGATTTCGTAATCGATATTGTGCTGATAACGAAGGTTGCACAGTTGTAGTCTTGAGCCGGTGTTGGGGTGAAAACCCCTGTCTTCAAGTCGTCGGAACGTTCGATGAGATGATGATATCATTATTTAGAACTCCGTGTATTGTAGGGTTTAGGGTTTAGGGTTTAGGGTTTAGGGTTTTAGGGTTTAGGGTTTAGGGTT